TATCTCACTATATTCCACCTTGTTTTATGTTATTTATTTTTTTCAAGGGTGTAACTAGTCACACCTACGAACTTATGCACTGTGTGTACATTTTTCAGGCCGACCATGATTTTATATTCTCAACATTTAGTATATTTTACATAGAATATAATAGCAAATCCTCTTCGATTGTAAGTTTAAGTCTCCTGTGTGTGCAAACGTGTAAATAATATACGCCCCAGTGTTCTGACACCCCGTCTCGCTTGCCTTCATAGGCAAATAATGCTAGTTACCTTTAAAAGTCTTATCTTAATCGTCCATCTGACTGGAACTTCCTGTACTTCTTAATTGGAGGGTAAGTGCCCTTTAACTCCCAGGTAGCCTTTGTCTTGAATGCAACGAACGCACGGTCGCTGGCAATATTTATCTCAGGTAAAAATCTGCCAGTGCGTTATTGTAAAAGAGCAGCTCCAGCAGACCTGGGGGCACTAGTGAGTAGATAAAAATATAGACATTGGGCTAATTTAGGAGCCAGAGAAACAAAGGGAGACTTTTTCTGCAAACCTCAAAGAATTTTGACAGAGACTTGATCAGGCTTAGCATTCCAAACTAACAGGTGTTCAGTTAAAAGAATAAGGGTGACATGGACAGTTTTCACAAACAAATAATCAAAATGGGATATACAGGTATTAGCGCTTTAGCCTGCCATACTTTTGGTTAATTTGGGGAAACATCGCTAGTGCGCCTGAAATGATCACGAAAACCATTTTCAGATCACAAACGATTTATAATAGTCTTAAAGGGATAATAACTGTTCGTTTTGGCCAAAAATGAATTTTCCTGGACTAAATAACAATTTTCCCATACTTACCAATGGTTCTTGAATCCATTTCTACATTCAAAATTAGGTCCTGTTTTTTTTCTGAAAAATTGTTTTTGTGTAATAATCTCTGAAGAGATTATTACAGAGTCATAGAAGTAGAGAAAGCGTAATTATCTCTTAAGAGATCTCTTGAGAGATTATTACAGAGTCAAAGAAGTAGAGAAAGCGCCACTTTCTCTACTTCTATGTACATAGTATACATGTAGTCATCTATGGAAGTCACGTGGTCCGATGACAAGCTCAGATATCAGAATAAATCTATAACTACCGTTTTTTTTTTTTTGGTTAAACAGAATACATTATATTTCCATAAGTTGATTACAGTGTTTTTATTGTGAAATACTACAGTACAGATCTTATACGAAGAGTTATTATCCCTTTAACCAATGAGTGACACTACAGTACAGCTGGACTGACTTCGAATTAAGTAACGTCCTCCCATTGTGAAGAGAGGTACCCCCATTGTGGGAGATCGGAGGATTGCTGGACCAATAGATGTCAGATTGGTTTTGATCTTAAAAGCAAACTCGGTCCATTTTATTTCTATAATGATCTTGAATTTTTTTGAAATTGCTGTTTATGGTCATTTCAGCGCACTAGTCCATCCACCCGCAAGTCAGCTTGGTGGTACCGTATATACGTTCAACTCTTAGTAATTTGGTAATTGATGACCATGGACATCACAAAGTGGTTAGCAAGAATGAGTAATAATTATTTACTACAAAAGCAGCAGAGACAGTCGGCCACAGCGCAGATGCGCTGAGAAATTAGGTATGTCCAGTACTAGGATTTGCCTTTTTGGTTCACATAGCAAACCGACTGGATGAATCAAATCATTCACACGTACTTTTTTCAAAAAGTTTTTGAGCATTGGTGTGCCATTTAACTGCGTGGTAATAAGATATTAAGGTAACATCTTTTGTTTGTTTGTTTTTTTTTTTTTTGACTTTCAGATGAGTGTACTCTGACACCTTCCTAGACCTAATAGCAGGATTTGTTAACATCCATTTTAAGAAGGATTTATAGAAAAGCCTTTGTCTTTTTGGAGCGTTGGACGTCTTGGTTAAAAGGATTTACATAAAAGCCTGTCGTCTTGGATAGTTGGATATCTTCGTCAAGTAAGGATTTCTACCCCTGTATAAAAGCCTGCCATCTGTTTCGTAGATCTGTAAATCTTGTCCTGTCCAGCCATGACACTGAACGTGTTGCTACGTGTACAAAACGTTTTTGGTACAGTCATCGTGTCCGCACTCATGTTCGGACTGCTGTTGTTGCCAAAGTTTATAATACCACCGCCAAAATACAAAAATCTTCACAAGAGCGGATTTCAGGAGCGTCAAACACATCCAAAGAGTGCAGCGAGCATTTCGGATGCATCAAAGGATGTTAAACTTATTTTATATTGGATTCCCAATTCTTCTGGTTTTAACTACTTCGGGTTGAAAAAATATCACTCCTCATTTGAGGATTTGAAGTGTCCCGTGGGTAACTGTAAGGTGACGGAGGATAAGAGTGCTGCCTATGATGCCGATGCCATCATTTTCATGGGTCCTGCGTTAGGTAAAAAACCAGAAAAACGGAACCCCAAAACACGCTGGATATGGATCAATCACGAGAGTCCATGTCACTCGAAGTTATCCAGTGATTGGACATTCAACTGGACGATGACTTATAGGATGGACAGCGACATCTACAGTCCATACGGATTCCCCCTCCTTGACAAAAAACACGATGAAGCCAAGAAAAGGGATTTCCTATCAGTTGCCAGGAGCAAAACTAAATTAGCGGCCTGGACAGTCAGCAATTGTAATGCTGAAAGTCGACGTATGGAATATGTTAAGGAATTACAGAAATATATGAGCGTGGACATTTATGGGAGTTGCGGGTCATTCAAATGTGGACTCGACAGGGACACTAAATGTAGCGATATGTATGACAAAACGTACAAATTTTATCTTTCATTTGAAAATAGTTTTGCTACGGATTATGTCACAGAAAAATTATATAAAATCCTCCCATTGGACGTTATCCCGGTCACACGTTCAGGTGCCAACTACACGCGTCTTGGCATCCCTCCATCCTGGCACATAGACACACACGACTTTAAGTCTCCCAAAGAGCTGGCACACAGACTGAAAGAACTAGATAAAGACGACGTTGAATATGCCAAGTTGTTGCAATCAAAGGCTGGTATTCAAGTCTCTTCTTGGATTCGTGGTTATTGTGATATTTGCGCCAAACTTCATTCTCCAACGGAACCAGTGAAATCCTACAGCGCTCATGACATACGTAGTTGGTATGGTACATGCAAACCCCCTGATGATCTGCAGTTTATAAAATGATTACTTTATAATTTGAACATTGAATTTTCATCGGCTAACACGAAAATGTTTCAGCACAGGGGCGATCGGTCTGCCACTAGGTGGCTTTTCGAAAAAACCGGAAGTCTTATACTTGTGAATCGGCTAAAATTTTGAAGATTTCTTCATGAAATACGCCATGACTGCCACAGCCCCCACTTGACACAATGGTCATTAAGCGTAATATACACCTTGTTAGAAATATGTTCAAAGTCTATAAGACAGAAGTATCTCCGGATCCCAGAATGTTCACATGTTCAAAAGTAATTGTTCAGCTGTCTAAAAATCTTAACAGAGAAAAAAACCCCGTTAAGCTGCATTTGTCATAATTCAAAAAAGCATTTTGGTGCAAGCAAGTAAAATCAGAGAATACTCCGTGAAATAAATGTCATTTGATGTATGCAATATAAGTTAAGTATATAATAAAATGTTCGGCCAAGTTTTATAAGATATACCTCTACAGTTTTCCATAATCACGTATTAATCTTACCCTTCTTTATGCCCGTTTCCCGCCGTATTTTCTTGGAGAGTCGAGATCCTGTTTAAAAACGAGGCCACGATCTAATAATTGGGAAAATAACGGTCATATGAACCAGCGGCTCTCGGGCTGTCCGCACAACTTTTAATTACCAGTAAGTTGTGGCAAATTTATTCAGCTTTCTGTCAATGTAAAGAAATTTGCATAAGCTGTGAATGGCACAAATCAATTCACGGCCGCGTAAGCCTAGAACTCGAACTTACAACATCCGTATATTAACCTCGCTTTGACATAGTTCTTTCTCAAGCACTTCAGCACGTTTTAATTTTTCCCTCACACAGTAACATAGAGCAACTAAGAATTGGGGACAAGGAAAATAATTTTTCTTGGCACTTACCATGGTGCTAATGTAAATGAATTTTAATTTTTTTTCCCTTGTAAATAACCCTTTTTTTATTACATGAGGCCAACTGATGAGGGTATGCCTTTCATTAAGACATGAAAAATAACAAATGAAAGACAATTTATATGTAGTTACATTGTTATATTTTATTTTATTTTATTTTATTTTATTTTATTTTTACATTTCAACTACTCTGAGACATTTCAACTAGTCTGAAACATGGTATCACCAACAGAAAATGTCAAGATTGTTACACCCTTAAGTTATTAAAACTGTGCAAATATATATATACCAGGGGTACATGTACTGTATATGGGTGCTTTCCCAGAGATTTAGATCGATCTAAAGATTAAGTTTTAGATCGACCTTACTCCCTGGGGGTTCAGGCTAAATTGCAGTCAGCCGAGCGGGCACCATAGTTAATTACCCCCTTACAGCTTTTAGTAGGCGGGACAGACGCTTAAGCCGGCCAAGCTGACAGTAATCTAGTGACTCCCCACAGGGATAGATCGATCTAAAAATCTATGGAAATGGGGTGTATGTTGCAAAAATTGTTATTTTACATTACATTGTGCATTAATTAGCCAGTTGGTGATAAATTAATTGCAATCTTTGTAGCCTATAACAATCAATCTTTATCTTAAACAGCACTATTTACAATCGATCTTCACCTTAAACTGCACTATTTATACTTAATTCATAACAGTAATGATAAACAAAAATCATCTGAAATTGAACTTTAGGCAAAGTTGCACACCCATCATCAATTAAAAACCCAATTTGAATCAAGGTCTGAAAATATTAGAAAACACATGCAAGTCAGAGCACCACAAATTGCGGTGTTTCCCACTATCACGCCCTATTCATTGAAGATCCTGTTTCATTTAATGTACATGCACACATACATATTATTCATCTCTGTTATACTTGCATTTTTATGACACACTTCCACTCAGAACCCCCAACCAATGCAATCAAACTTATTTGGGATTTACATGTTTTTTCTAAAAAGATTAACACAATACATTTGCACACGCCCCCCCTCAGCAAAAATGTAAACATGTTTAAAGCCATAATTTAAGATTCATCTTTTGAAACATGCCTATGGTTAGTTGACAATACTGTATTTTCCACAGCTACTAGTACCTACCAATCCCCCCTGTCATATTTGTTTCGGGTCAANCCCTATACACACACCGCCTTGCAAACAAGTACCGGAACACCACCATATGCACATACGTACTGTATACGTGTATGCAGGACGGATGACAATGTCATTTTGCAAACCACTTAATATTATTCACGCAAAAACACGAAGAAATTGCTGAAGAAGCCAAGTTTCAAATATTTCACTTAAACGGTGACATTCATTCCATATTTGAGACCAGAACGCCACTGCCATCACTCCATCAACTAAATGATAGATACCCAGTAAGGAGAATATACAGCTTGTTGGAAATGGTGAAAACCTACAAGTTACAGGCCATCGCACATTTTAAAAATTGTTCAAAAACTAATATCAAACTAAGAAAAAGCAGGAATAGTTAAAGAAAAAAGCCCTTAAGCTACATTTGGCACAATTCAAAGGTCTATGTTTACAATGACGTTTTGTGTGCGGCCATTGTGCTATTAGCCAGTAACGTAAGAAAATACTCATTTAAATCGATACAGGAACATTCCTTTGGTGTATAAAATGTAACTTAAGCCTATACTGTATTGTCCTGTCGAATTTTTAGTATATAAATCAACCGGTCATTGTATAAACATATGTACATCTTATACCTTCTTATCCCGCCATTTTTCTTAGAGCTACCGCTCCCCTTTTTGAAAACGAGGCCAAATCTAATATTTTCCTTTATAACCGTCATATGAGCCGGTGGCTCCAGGGTTGATCTGCATGCAAAGTGGCAGCAACTGATTTAAATACTAATTGCAATGCAGTAGTTAACAAGTGAGGGTTTCTACTTATCAGATATATGCATTTGCCCCAGGCATACTTACACAGAGAATAATATAATAGTCATGGAAGACTGAAGCTAAGTGAATGATAATAATGACTGACTATATAAACAAAATATGTAAATGAGTGAGTTTATCACTTGCCTCCAGTGGAGCTTTAAACACGAGGGGCGCATTCCCATAGATTTTAGATCGATCTATCCCCGTGGGGAGTCTCACTAGATTACTGCCATATAATCCAGCTTAAATGTCCGTCCCGCCGACTAATAGCTGTAAGGGGGTAATTAACTTCCGTGCGCGGTCGGCTGACTGCAATTTAGCGTGAACCCCCAGGGAGTTAGGTCGATCTAGTAAGATCGATCTAAATCTCTGGGAATGCCCTCTAGGACGAGGATTAATATGCGGAGTTCGTGGAATTATTGTGTAGGCCTACTGGTACTGGTACTGGTACTAACAAAGCAGCAATTCAAGGTAAGACCTTTAATTATTTGTGAAATATTTGTTTTTACCCTTTCCACCACAACCATGTAATTCTATCTGACATGTTCTGTAACCTTTCATTTGCACTCTATGTTTCAATTTTCACGTGTTTTATCATTTTCTCATTGGTGGGTGCAAGACATAACCCCAACTTCTGTGATAGCGTAACCTTTACACGTAGCAACCCTTCAGTCAATGCCTTGTTGGGTAAAGTATTGACTCAGTTCAATCGTGATCCGTTGGGTAGTTGGTAAAGGATAGAGATCACTGACCATCCCCGCATAAGTATCATTTTAAAGACTTTAAAGCAAAGAGAAAAGAAATATAAATGAAGACGCAGACGTTATGATAATGACGAGCAATAAGTTGTTGTCAAAATCGATCACTAATTCTAAACTATACCAGATTTTTATGCAAAAGGCAATTTGCTCAGAAACACGAGAGCCTGCATTCGTTTTCGATTGCGGGGCCAGCTCTTTCTTGTGGTCAACTGACATGCGTCGTCTGTGACTTAAACTCGTGACTTGCCGTTCCCATGGTTTGTTGATGGCTTGGCATTTTTTGCTACCGACTGCGCCGTGACTGAACCGCCCAACCTCAAAACAAACGAGTTTCATCTTATAATAACCAGACGTAATTATTAGAAATTATTTTGAGTAAAAATATCTCATTGAACATCTAGGGATTCGAACCTGCGTAAAATAGTCTGACTGTGTCCAAGACGACGGCGTTACCACGTAGCCACACAGGCTTCATTGATAGGGTTCGGGACAAATAGAAACTTTCTCCTTTCTTACAGAGAGGGCCAGTTTGGCTGTACATGTATATATCTGCTATAACAATCAATAGGCCGTGAGCCGTGCATATGTATTTCATACCGCGCATCGCCAGTCTGCGAACTTGGTATCATGTTTAAGTTATAGTTCATCATGTGCACGAGCACTTTTTGTTGAAAGGGCGGTACGCCATGCCAGATTAGCTATTGACTGCATTCAAGTTTGATCTGTGGCGTAGATGGTAAATGATAGAGAACTATGGTCATCCCCGCCTGAGCATCATTTTAAAGCCTTTAAAAGTGAAGAGAAAGGAAGAATTTAAGATAAAGAACAGCAATAAGTTTTTGTCAAATCGACTTATTCACTTATTCTAAACTATACCGGCTTTTTTTCCCGTTACTTCCCGATTGCAGGGTCAGGTCGTTGCTGTAACGAAATGACATGCGTTATTATCAGGGACTCGAACTCGTGACTTGATGACGGCTTTTTTTTTTTTTTTTTTTTTGTTTTTTTTTTCTTTGCAGCCGCGCACGCCAACGACAGCGATGTGTCTCACCCACCTTCCCACCTAATATACGTTTTACTTCTAGTAAAAAAATGCAATTATCAGAAATTATATCTAGCAAAAATACTGCATTAAACACTCTAGGATTCGAACCCGCGTACAAGGGTATAGCTGTTTGACAAATAATTCTATAAAAAAGACACATTTTTATCTGCGATATACAGGTGGTATGAAAGGTGCAAATCCAGGATATGAGGGGGGGGTGTCAGTGTTATTTACGAATGACATGCCTTGCATTCGAAGCCGCCCCTCGGCCCCCTTGTGGTGGGTTTTGGTGCCCGCTAAAGACTTTTTAGGAGGGGAATATTAGTGTGATTGTTTCAGAAACCGAAGGTGGGGGGGGGGGAGTAAGCCCCCCCTGGATCCCCTCTAAATCCGCCCCTGGGACTAGATAAAAAATATAGACATTGGGCTAAATTAGGAGCCAGAGAAACAAAGGGAGACATTTTCTGCAAACCTCAAAGAATTTTGACACAGACTTGATCAAGCCTAGCCCTCCAAAGTAACAGGGTGTTCAGTTCACAAAGTAAGGGTAATATGGACAGCTTTCACAAACAAATAATCAAAATGGGATATATATATTAGCGCTCTATCTTGCCATACTATTGGTTAATTTTGGGAAACATCGTTAGTGCGCCTGAATTGATTATCAACAGCAATTTCAGATCACAAATGATCTAACATGGTTTTAATCAATGAGTAACGCTATAACTGGTCTGACTTTAGTAACGTTCTCCCATTGTGAAGACAGGTAACCCCATTGTGGGAGATCGGAGGATTGCTGGACCAATACCTGTCAGATTGGTTTGATCTTAAAAGCAGAGCCAGTCCATTTTAAGATCATTTCTATAATGATCTTTAATTTTTTTGAAATTGCTGTTTATGGTCATTTCAGCGCATTAGTCCATGCACCCGCAAGTCAGCTGGTAGTACATGTACGTTCAACTCTTAGTAATTTGGTTATTGGTTATTGATGACCATACTGATGACCATGGACTTCACAAAGTGATTAGAATGAGTAATAATTATTTACTACAAAAGCAGCAGAGAGAGTCGGCCACAGCGCAGGTGCGCTGAGAAATTAGGTATGTCCATTAGTAGGATTAACCTTTCTGGTTCACATACCAAACCGACTGGATGCATCAAATCATTCACACGTACGTTTTTTCAAAAAGTTTTTGAGCATTGGCGTGCCATTTAATTGCGTGGTAATAAGATATTAAGGTGACATCTTTTGTTTTTGACTTTCAGATGAGTGTACTCTGACACCTTCCTAGACCTAATAGCAGGATTTGTTAACATCCACTTTAAGAAGGATTTATAGAAAAGCCTTTGTCTTTTTGGAGCGTTGGACGTCTTGGTTAAAAGGATTTACATAAAAGCCTGTCATTTTGGATAGTTGGATATCTTCGTCAAGAAGGATTTATATAAAAGCCTGTCATCTTGGATAGTTGGATATCTTCGTCAAGAAGGATTTATATAAAAGCCTGTCATCTTGGATAGTTTGATAACTTCGCCAAGAAGGATTTCTACCCCTGTATAAAAGCCTGCCATCTGTTTCGTAAATCTGTAAATCTTGTCCTGACTAACCATGACAATGAACGTGTTGCTACATGTGCACATCGTTCTTGGTACAGTCATCGTGTCCGCACTCCTGTTCGGACTGCTGTTCTTAACAGAGATATATAAAACCGTAAGTGTGCCAAAGTTTATAATACCATCACCAAAATACAAAAATCTTCACAAGCGCGGATTTCAGGAACGTCGAACACATCCACTGAGTGCAGCGAGCATTTCGGATGCATCAAAGGATGTTAAACTTATTTTATATTGGATTCCCAATTCTAATGCTTTTGACTACTTGGGGTTGAAAAACTATCACACCTCATTCGAGGGCTTGAAGTGTCCCGTGGGTAACTGTAATGTGACGGAGGATAAGAGTGCTGCCTATGATGCCGATGCCATCATTTTCATGGGTCCTGCGTTAGGTAAAAAACCAGGAAAACGGAATCCCAAAACGCGCTGGATATGGACCAATCACGAGAGTCCATGTCACTCGAAGTTATCCAGTGATTGGACGTTTAACTGGACGATGACTCACAGGAAGGACAGCGACATCTACAGTCCATACGGATTTCCCCTCCTTGACAAAAACCACGATGAAGCCAAGAAAAGGGACTACCTATCAGTTGCCAGGAGCAAAACTAAATTAGCGGCCTGGGCAGTCAGCAATTGTAATGCTGAAAGTCGACGTATGCAATATGTGAAGGAATTACAGAAATATATGAACGTGGACATTTATGGGGGTTGCGGGTCATTCAAATGTGGACTCAACAGGGACAATAAATGTAGGGATATGTATAACAAAACGTACAAATTTTATCTTTCTTTTGAAAATAGTTTTGCTACGGATTATATCACAGAAAAATTCTATAAAATCCTCCCATTGGACGTTATCCCGGTCACACGTTCAGGTGCCAACTACACGCGTCTTGGCATCCCTCCGTCCTGGCACATAGACACACACGACTTTAAGTCTCCCAAAGAGCTGGCACACAGGCTGAAAGAACTAGATAAAAACGACGTTGAATATGCCAAGTTGTTGCAATCAAAGGCTGGTATTCAAGTTTCTTATTGGATTCGTGCTTATTGTAATATTTGTGCCAAGCTTCACTCTCCAACGGAACCAGTGAAATCCTACAGCGCCCAGGATATACGTAGTTGGTACGGTACATGCAAACCCCCTGATGATCTGAAGTTTATAAAATGATTACTTTATAATTTGAAGATTAAATTATCACCGGCTAACAGAGCAGTTTTTTTTACAAAGTTATCATATTACTGGCAGTTGTTACAAAATAACAATATTACGATCGTTAGATACAAAGTAATCATATTACGAGCACTTTCTTACAAAGTAACAATACTTATTTGAAAAGCAGAGATACTTCAGCAATCAACAAAGGTGCAATGCAGAAAATGAAATCAAACATTTGGGAAAAGAGCAAAACGCCTCTCAAGGTAAAACAGAGGAGCAAGATAGGTATGGTCAAACCAATCTCACCAGCTGATGGGTAAAGATAACAACAAGATGATCAGTGGCCTGTTCATCGCACTCAGTGTCAGATCTTAATCTGATAATTCACTTCTGACCCGATAAGTTTCTGAAATTTGGCGTAGTTGGTAAAATCACAAAAACTCGGGCAGAAGAATAGAATGTACTTTTATTATTGTGACAATGGCATTTCCCTGGCTCCTTGAAACTACATGTATTTAGACAACGTGTTTTTGAAGGACAACAATTCCACCTTGCGGTTAGTGGGTGATAACACGTAGGCCTACTGTTAGATCAGTCTGGTGGCCTTCGATCAGGCTTGCCAAAAGCTACCGAGGAAAACTTTAGCTTGTGCTCAACAACATTGATAAAATGTTATCCAACTACTTATTAACCTTTCCGCTCGATAACAATTAATAATGAATAAAAATAGCAATGATAATAGTAATAACTCGTCAAATGTCAATTACTAGTACATTTGTAACTGTTGATCAATAATAAACAGCTTCCCGCTGAATTTCCTTTTTGAAAGCTTGGACCAAATACTTCTTAGTTCCCTAATATGCATCTTCATAATAAGTTGCAAATGATCGTCCATACCATTATAAGATGGATGGGTTCGTATCCTCGCATAAAATGTTTAGTACACATACGAGTGTCCTTGGAAACTTTTTCTATATTAAACTTCTCCCTATAAGTATTCAACATAACCGAACCCACGGCTTGCATATCTGCAGATCTGTTTGTTTATTTATTTATTAGTGGATTGTTAGTGTGTCTAGAGACAATTTTGCATGTGCCATAAACGCAATGCTTACTGACCATTGCTGTAACTATCGAATTTGCGAATAAAATGAAAAATAATGCCAGTTATGGACAAATATTTGGAAGTATCTTTTTCCATTGAAATGCTCGGTCTACACATGCGACACGTTGTGGAGCCAGCGTGCACAATTCGGGTCACTGAAAAATAACCTTGTCGTGCAACGCTATTGTATTCATGTTTTCATTGTGTGTCCCGCACACAGCAAAACATACCCTTTTCTATTGCGAGGGCAAATAAACAGCTGCTATTCAATCTACTGCTTTGTAAGGGAGACTTTCGTCCAACAGAACTATTTTTGGCTGTCATTGATCTGGCGGTACATAGCAAGCAATTGAAGTCCCAGTGAGACGACATTAGGAGGGAATAAGTTGGACCCCAACTTACCTGAGCAGGTATAGTATTTTTTGGCAATCGGAAGAATTGTGGGTAAGTTCGACACCTGCAAGGGGTGGACGGAGGCCGTCTTCTGGCCCAGGGTCCTTTATACATTATTTTTAAATTCGGGGTTTCAAGTTCGTTAACACTATGGCAGCCATCTGTATATGTACAGTGTGGGTTCAAAACTGCAAGTTAAGGTGCATGCTTTTTTAGGTTAGTGCGGCTTCTCCTTCTCTATTACCTGTAAGTAATATGAAAACAACATGGCTGTCACAGATAACATTTACACGTACACACACTGGACAATAGAAGTGTCACCACCTGAATCAGAGTAATCAAAGTTATAACGCCTGGTCTACATATAATGAGACTAATGAGTATAAAACCGCTGTACATGTACCATGGAATTGTATTACTGGTCTTTTTGTGAAATTTGATGTTAATAAAATGATACCAGGAGCATATCATTCCACAGTCATTTATCTCCCCCAAAGTATTGGTTCAATAGGGGTGACACTTCTATTGTCCAGTGTGTGTACTTTTTTGTCTTCCCGGTGTGACAGGAATGGTAGTCCGCTCGGAACCTACTCCGTTCCACGTTACTCTGTACAGTTGACATGTGCCCCATATACTAACCCTGATAGTCCAACTAATCCTAAACAGTGGTAATCATATGGGACACCAGACTTCCTAGAAGTAGCCTACCATTTCTGTCACACCGGCGATCTATGTGTGGCTTCTTATGTGATGATTTTGTTTCTGTGAGGGTTTGTGTTTTAATTAAAATCAAGGGCGTGTAAGTCAAGGTGAGTAGGTTTCGATTAAGTGAATACTGGGTTGCTGTGTGCGTATGCTGCGTGTTCTTGAATCAATGGATGTGGTGTGTGATAAACGTACTATTTTGTGTTGTTTTGGTTGTGTGGTGTAGGTATGTGTGGTGGCTTGAACAGCATTAAGCTGTGTTTATTTATTAAAAATAATACAGATATTTACACAAGAGGCACGATGCTAGAGGTATTTAATTACGTGATATGTTTAGTGGCTGTTCCGGGTCCACTGTGCTCCTCCTTCATAATGGAATTAGAAGAGACTAAAAATTACCAGCTAGCCCAGTAAATGAACAACTTAGGTTGGAAAGAAATTTTAACAAGGGTTTCTCAACTGAATGTGGTTCAGCTATGGACCAATATATCCCAGTTCATTTTCCACCAGAATCCAACCATGGCAAAGTGCCACAATCTCCAAAATGGCCGCCAATGCAGGGGGTGTTTAAGTGAATATAATATGAAAACTGCGTAACTTAAAAACTAGTGAGAGGTATTATTTCTAATATTCAAAGGCATGAATATTCATTTGAAAAAAGTTTAGAAGTTATCAGAGGTCAAGAGCATGCCGAAATGCCATGGTCAATATCAAAATATGACCAATATAGTTTAAAATACAACATTTTTATGGGGGTCGATAAACCTGTCTTCAGGGATGAGCATGGGCATTCACAGCTATTCTTATCCGAAGTAGTCGGGTCTACCTACAGTATATGAACACGATATTATCGCTGTGGCTGTTCCACATATTGCTGCTCTGCAGCCCCAATATACCCCAAAAAAGTTTCTCCAAAGTCCTGTTTTTGGCGAAAATCCAAATTGGCCGGGGGTGAAGGGGGTGATAATGTATGTTATGAAACACTGTATTTTTATTGAAGTAGAAGGAGCCTTCATATGAGCCTTCATATTTTTGTGCTCAGTTAAATTATTATTATTATTATTATTATTATTATAATTATTATTATTAAACTGGACACCAGTAAAATAGATTGAAAACTGGTGTGCCTTTTTAATTGAACGATGATAAAATATGAGGGTAACTTTGTTCTTTATTTTCAGATGAGTGCACTCCAAGACCTTCTAAGGCCTACATGTAATTCATACAGAGTAATTTGAAAAATGTAGTTGGACATATTTGTCAAAAAAGGAGGATCAAAAAGCCTGTCGTCTATTTGGATAGTTGGACATCTTCGTCAAGAAGGATTTATATAAAAGTCTGTCGTCTGTTTGGATAGTTGCACCAAGGAGTTATAACAGACCTTCTGTTATAACTCCTTGGTTGCACACCTTCGTCAAGAAGGATTTATATAAAAGCCTGTCATCTATTAAGAAAGTTGGACATCTTCGTCAAGAAAGATTTATATACAGTAAAAGCCTGTCGTCTATTTGGATAGTTGGACATCTTCGTCAAGAAGGATTTATATAAAAGCCTGTCGTCTGTTTGGATAGTTGGACATCTTCGTCAAGAAGGATTTATATAAAAGCCTGTCATCTATTTGGATAGTTGGACATCTTCGTCAAGAAAGATTTATATACAGTAAAAGCCTGTCGTCTATTTGGATAGTTGGACATCTTCGTCAAGACGGATTTATATAAAAGCCTGTCGTCTGTTTGGATAGTTGGACATCTTCGTCAAAAAGGATTTATATAAAAGCCTGTCATCTATTAGGAAAGTTGGACATCTTCGTCAAGAAGGATTTATATAAAAGACTGTCATCTATTAGGAAAGTTGGACATTCGTCAAGAAGGATTTATATAAAAGCCTGTCGTCTATTTGGATAGTTGCACATCTTCGTCAAGAAGGATTTATATAAAAGACTGTCATCTATTAGGAAAGTTGGACATCTTCGTCAAGAAGGATTTATATAAAAGACTGTCGTCTATTTGGATAGTATGACATCTTCGTCAAGAAGAATTTATATAAAAGCCTGTCGTCTATTTGGATAGTTGGACATCTTCGTCAAGACGGATTTATATAAAAGCCTGTCGTCTGTTTGGATAGTTGGACATCTTCGTCAAGAAGGATTCATATAAAAGCCTGTCATCTATTAGGAAAGTTTCGACATCTTCGTCAAGAAGGATTTATATAAAAGCCTGTCGTCTATTTGGATAGTTGGACATCTTCGTCAAGAAGGATTTATATAAAAGCCTGTCACCTATTTGGATAAAGGACTTTAAAGAAGAGATCTCAGTTCAGTCTTAGATTTGTTTCGTTAAACATTAGTTTTATTTAAGCAATTTCTGTGAGTACATTTTATCAGGCATTGCATTTGTTTAAAAGGAAACCTCCAAGAAATGAAAATACCCCTTACAAAGTCAAACAACTGGAGCATTTGCCGCATCCTGGAAGTTCTGCAGCCCTTGCCCTGTCCAGCCATGACAATTAATGGGAAGACAGTGTGGAACAACAAACAACCGAGGGATTTGCGGCATATATCATACTTTACCTACGTAGATCTTCTTCTGTCCAGCCATGACAATTAATTTGAAGATAGTATTACAAAACGGCTTGATTACAATCATTTTGTTCGCAATCCTCTTTGGGATGCTTCTGTTAACAGAAACCTATAAAACCGTAACTTTGTCAAGGTTTATCTTACCAAATTACAGAAATCATAACAAAAGCAGATTTCAGAAACGCCCAACACTTTCAATGAATGCAACGAGCATTTCAGATGCACCAACGGACGCTAAACTTATTTTGTATTGGATTTCCAGTGGGTTTCGCTATTTAAGGTTGAAAAGTTTTCACTCCTCATTTGAGGATTTGAAGTGCCCCGTGGGTAACTGTAAGGTGACGGAGGATAAGAGTGCTGCCTATGATGCCGATGCCATCATTTTCATGGGTCCTGCGTTAGGTAAAAAACCGGTAAAACGGAACCCCAAAACAAGGTGGATATGGACCAATCACGAGAGTCCGTGTAAATCGAACATAGCCAGCGATTGGACGTTCAACTGGACGATGACTTACAGGATGGACAGCGACATCTACAGTCCATACGGATTTCCTCTCCTCGACAAAAAACACGATGAAACCAAGAAAAGGGACTATCTATCAGTTGCCAGGAGCAAAACTAAATTAGCGGCCTGGGCAGTCAGCAATTGTAATTCTCAGAGCCGCCGTATGGAATACGTGAGGGAATTACAGAAATATATGAGCGTGGATATATATGGTGGTTGCGGGCCATTCAAATGTGGACGGGACAGGGAAGATAAATGTTACGATATGTTTAACAAAACGTACAAATTTTATCTGTCTTTTGAAAATAGTTTTGCCACGGATTATGTCACAGAAAAATTATATAAAATCCTCCCATTTGACGTTATCCCGGTCACACGTTCAGGTGCCAACTACACGCGTCTTGGCATCCCTTCATCCTGGCACATAGACACACACGACTTTAAGTCTCCCAAAGAGCTGGCACACAGACTGAAAGAACTAGATAAAGACGACGTTGCATATGCCAAATTGTTGCAATTAAAGGCGGGCATTCAAGTCTCTTCTTGGATTCGTGGTTACTGTGATATTTGTGCCAAGCTTCACTCTCCAACAGAACCAGTGAAATCCTACAGCGCCAAGGATATACGTAGTTGGTACGGTACATGCAAACCCCCTGATGATCTGCAGTTTATAACACGAACACTTAATTATTGGAGTACGATCCTCTGAGATCGTTGACTTAAGTACACTATACCAATCTGTGGGGTAAGCCACTATTACCCTTCCGGAGGCCAGGAAAATTCCGTTTGGAACAGTATTTTAGAAAGTGTGAAATTAATGCCCAACTTGACCATAAGATTTTTAAATAAATTTTCAAAAGAACTTTCTATTTGATTTTATGTTTTCTGAAATGTAACTGTTACATTTTGGTTCTAAAACAATAAATAAATAAATAAATCAACCAAGGTGTTATTTTCATTAATATTTATGCAATTGTAAGTAAGTAAGTAAGTTTATTAAGACATGGCAACCAAAAGGTTGAAGTTATACATAAAATGGAGTGAGAATAAAATTTACAAATTTACAAATTTACAAATTAAAATATTGAAATATAATATAGGATAGGCGAAAAGAACTTAATGAAATAAAAAAGAAATAAATAAAATAAACATATATTTTTGCACAGGCTTCTGAAAGTTAGTGTAAAAGAGGATGGAGTAATGATAATTAAATACAATAAAGGCCAAAATGAGTTTGAAAAGTAAAACTCAGACCACTAATGGTTTAATAAAGAGAAAGGAATAAAAGTGTTTTTAATTTTTTTTGGGGGGAAATATCCAGTCTTATTGGAATTTTTATTCGGACCAGTAAAAGAATACGTGTTCTTATGCAGACTTGGGAAGACTTGGATGGGAAGCGGTCTCTCTATCATGGGGGGCTCTTTGTCGAGCTACAACGGTTTTGTTCACTGACGCGTCCCTGTGTAACCTGACAGAGAGTCCCCCATGATAGAGAGTCCGCTTCCCATTCATTTGTACAGGTAAGGCTCGCCCTAGCTTTTAACTCACTTAGGTGAAGCTAACCCTAACCATTATAACTATATGGAAGGCGGACTTTCTGTCACACGGATCCTTAGTTTCATTACGCCGGTTTTGATTGTCTCATTCGGACAGGATGGTTCTCGTTTACATACGAAATGGTGAGCATGACCGATTTGGTAGGTTAAGTGTTAAGGTTTGGGCGGGTACAAGTGGCACTTCCAAGGCAGAACTCATGGTGATTGCTTGAAATCTGAAGAGTGGAGAAGGATGCCCCAGGTCCGCATTCCAGGTGTGGTACATGCAGGGGCGGATCCAGGATTATTTGAAGGGGGATCTGCAGATGCGAAGCCGACACCCCCTCCCCCCTTTGGCGTGGGGTTTGGGGCTCGGTGTAGGGCCCCCCAAATTTTTTGATATTTTATAGGGCGAACGGTGCCATTTTGTACGGTTTAGAAATATTATAGTCAAAATTCTAATTTCGAGAGGGGACCATTAGTGTGATTTTCTTTCAAAAATCGAGGGGGGTGAAGGGTCAGGACCCCCCTGACACCCCCCTAAATCCGCCACTGGGTACATATATTGTCCATGAGGAGGAAGGTACTAGTCTGTATTACAACCAGGGGAGGACACACATGTAACTGAACAATATAATATTACTTCTATAACAATATTGTATAAGCAGTAAATTTAAACCATAAATTTAAAAAGAATTGTGTTTCTTAAAGATGTAAATGGAGTCAACTTTTTGTCTCAAACGCCAACCAGAGGCCCGCCAATAGTTGCAAGGGGTATAACTAAGAGAATTACCAAAAGACATTGTTTAATATTACCCTAAAATGATATTTGAACGGATTTTTATGCCAGCTTTCTATGCTGTATATTAATGGGACAGAAAAGTAGGCCAGATAAGTAGGTTAAATTTCTGAACAAACATTTAAAGAAAGGAGCAGTCTAAAGCTCTTTTGTGGCTGGTCAGGTGATTTATTCAGTTTATCACTTGGCATGTCTAATTTATTTGAGTCGTGGAAGAAACTAGTAGAAGTGGTTTATATGTGTTACTGGGAATCCACGCTCCACCAACACTCGGTTCATATGTACATTTAATTTTGCCAGTATATATCGGGGCCCAGCCCAAGTGTTGTCACTACATGTAATACAAATATCAAGGTAAGTTAGTGACAGTGGAGTATTGTATTGTTATCTGCCATAGCATTAAACCTGTATTGAATCGTTATAATTGATAAGATAAAACCTAAATTCAAAGTTAGTTAGTTGGGTATTACGTAGTCTGACATATCAGTTAACCCAGAAATTGATGAGGTCACAGCACGAGGAGCCATATTGGTAAGTGTGAGTTAATTTTACTCAGAGAGTTAAAGTTAAGGATCGAATGCCTTAAAAACAAAAGATACCAGAATATGGCGTAATAGGAGTGCCGGGGAAGGTAAGCGGTCGTACGGAAATCTACCGGTGCTTACCAACCCCGGATGACATTAACTGGGACTGGCAGTGACTCAGCCAAGGACCTGTATGTGTGTACATGATTTATATATATGTACCACAAATGAACGTAAAAATAATAGGCCAATCTATGCGGGGACTGAACGGTACACACAGGGTGGGGGTGGGGGAGGTTGGTGAACATGTGGGATGTTCAACAGGTGGCTGGAGGAAATAAAGGCCCCAAAACAACAGGAGTATCAATTATAAAACATCATGGCGGATTCAACCCCATCCTTGCCCGAAGAACCAATTAATATATAGAAGTTTATCCAATTTAGGGTTTTCATTGCATTGAAAATACATGGTCATATTACTCTCTGATATAAGCAGACACTGAACAAGGCGAGTGCCACATTATCAACGCCACGATGAATGCAAAGATTTCAAGGCGCAGACCATACAAATAAAAGGCAACTCATATATCAAAGGACGGTAACAAGATTCTAAAAAAATTCGTCTAGTAAGTTAAAAAACAAGTTATAAAATTAAAAAAGACAATTATCTGAATAAATGGAAATCAGTGAAGATCTGAAATTCGAGTGCGTGTTAAAAATTATGATAATAAAGGAAACATCATTTTTTAATTTCAGATGAGTACACTCCGGACCCTACTCAGGCCTAATTCATACAGCGGGGTTTCCAAAATGTAGTTGGACATCTTCGTCAAGAAGGATTTATATAAAAGCCTGTCGTCTATTTGGATAGTTGGACATCTTCGTCAAGGTGGATTTATGTAAAAGTTTGTCTACCAAGATAAAGGACATATTTGAGATGATTTTCAGTTCACTCTGTAGTTTTTGGTTTAGCAAACGTGGTGACTTCCGCTTGTTAGTCATTGCAAATCATAGCAATTCATGTCTATAAAAATAATATCCCTGTACAAAGTCGAATAACAAACAACTGAGGCATTTGCGGCATTCATCCTACTGGTACTTATGTAGATCTTCTGTCCAGCCATGACAATTAATGTGAAGATAGTGTTACAAAACGGCTTGATTACAATCATCGTATCCTCACTCCTCTTTGGTATGCTTCTGTTAACAGAAACTTATAAAACCGTTACTTCGTCAAGGTTTATCTCACCACAACCAAATTATAAAAATCATAACAAGAGCGGATTTCAGAAACGTCCAACACCACCAGTTAATGCAACGAGCATTTCAAATTCATCAAAGGATTTTAAAATTATTTTATATTGGATTCCTAGATCTTCTGGTTTTAACTACTTCGGGTTGAAAAGATATCACCCCTCATTTGAGGATTTGAAGTGTCCCGTGGGTAACTGTAAGGTGACGGAGGATAAGAGTGCAGCCTATGATGCCGATGCCATTATTTTCATGGGTAAAGCGTTAGGTAGAAAACCAGAAAAACGGAACCCGAAAACAAGGTGGATATGGACCAATCACGAGAGTCCATGTCACTCGTACTTAAACAGTGATTGGACGTTTAACTGGACGATGACTTACAGGATGGACAGCGACATCTACAGTCCATACGGATTCCCCCTCCTTGAGAAAAACCACAAGGAAACCAGGGAAAGGGATTTTCTATCAGTTGCCAGAAGCAAAACTAAATTAGCGGCCTGGGCAGTCAGCAATTGTAATTGTCGAAGTCGACGTATGGAATACGTAAAGGAATTACAGAAATATATGAGCGTGGACATTTATGGGCGTTGCGGGACATTCAAATGTGGACGGGACAGGGAAGCTAAATGTAACGATATGTTTAACAAAACTTACAAATTTGATCTTTCTTTTGAAAATAGTTTTGCCACGGATTATATCACAGAAAAATTATATAAAATCCTCCCATTGGACGTTATCCCGGTCACACGTTCAGGTGCCAACTACACGCGTCTTGGCATCTCTCCGTCCTGGCACATAGACACACACGACTTTAAGTCTCCCAAAGAGCTGGCACACAGACTGAAAGAACTTGATAAAGACGACGTTGCATATGCCAAGTTGTTGCAATCAAAGGCTGGAATTCAAGTTTCGTCTTGGATTCGTGGTTATTGTGATATTTGTGCCAAGCTTCACTCTCCAACGGAACCAGTGAAATCCTACAGCGCCCAGGATATACGTAGTTGGTACGGTACATGCAAACCCCCTGATGATCTGCGGTTTATGACACGAATACTTAATTACTGGAGTACGATCCTTTGAGATCCTCTGACTTTAGTACACTGCACCAGTCTGCGACGTAAGCCACTGTTCCCCCGCCCGCGGCCTGGAAAATTTTGTTTGGAACAGTACATGTATTTTAGAAAGTGTGAATTAATAGTGTCCAACTTGGCCATTAGATTTTTCAGTATTTTTTCAAAAGAGCTTTCTTTTAGATTTAATGTTTTCTGAAATGTAACTGTTACATGTTGGTTCTAAAACAATAAATAAATAAATAAATAAATCAACCAAGGTGTTATTTTCATTAATATTAATGCAATTGGGGAAGATATCCAATCTTATTGACATTTTTATTCGGACCAGTGAATTCTGATTCGGACCAGCAGATGTTAGGAAACTTACTTATTATTATTATTAACTTTATTATTAATAATATTATTTTGAGTCTAAAAGCTAAGTTTGTTCAGTGGACTTTACAGTACAACTTTAAAAAAATAGTAGATAGTAGAAATAGGAAAGAAAAAATTATTAAAACAGGAAAATGTCTCGAAACAAATAATGTTAAAATTAAGTGTTTCTACACTCACTTTGAAAAAAAATCATTTAAGAGAATTCTATTCACATGTTTTGAAAAGGAGAAGTCTTGCAATTGAGTTTCCTTTTATGTTAAGCTGGAGAGTAAATTCCATTCCCGGCGTAAAAAATGTCACCATATGCCACAAGTCAATCCATATGTCACCATATGCCACAGGTCAAGGTCAAGGTGCGCTCCTGCAGCAGCCCTGCTAATGATCTCTAACAAACTTTACTGTTTTTTATTGAAAGTGTGGGTTTTGGAGGGAAATCTTCCACAGAATACGTTTATGAATACACCAGGACTCTTTTGGACACTTTATGGACATTCTAGTCACTTTTCTAAGCCTTTCTGAGATTGTTGCTTACAAATATAGCAAGGACCACCTGGATATTTCAGCACTACCGTGACAACAACTCAAGATGAGATACTCAATGAACAGCCTACATGAAATTGGCAGGAAAGTTACAGCCAGTAATGTGGTATTGCCCGGGAGCCTTTTCAGGACAATAAGAACAAGTGGTATAAGCCCTGTATTACCAACACACAGGGGCTGCAGGCAGGCAGTGATAAACAGAGACAATTACCTGTTATTATCAACAAAGGAGAGACCAAACACTTTGTGTACCATAAAATGTGTATCTTCATATCATCTAGAAAATAACATCAAAATGTCTCTTTGGAATGCCAGATCCGTGGTTGACAAGGTGCCCCATTTATGTGACTCTATAGACCAGCATAATACAGACATTTTCATGTTAACAGAAACATGGATAAAAAGTAAAAGCTGCAATTTCTTTGATGCTGACTTTAACTCCTCCTTCAGTGGCTATACAATTCATCACTCACCTAGGAATCACCGGAAAGGTGGTGGCATTGCCATTATGACACGGTCCAACATGAAAGTTGCAAAAAAACAAGGCGTCAGAGTTAAAATGTTTTGAGTTCCTTGATGTGAATGTCTCCACCAGGAAAGATATGCTGTATTTGATTCTGATATACCGTGCACCCTACTCAAAGAAGCACAAGTAGACCGTATCTAGGTTCGTAGACGAATTTTCCAAGCTTTCAGAAGGTGCTGATCTGTTCTCTCCAGGTCGCCTGGTAATAGCTGGAGATTTTAATATCCACATGGATAACGAGATATGCAGCGATGTTAGGAGGTTTAAGGACCTGATTGAATCAATGAGTTTGACTCAACACATCAGAACAGCCACCCACTCAAAGGGACATATCCTAGACTTAGTGCTGACTCGCACCGACTTCTGCCTTCAAAGTTTTACTTTAGACCACAGCCTTCCTTCAGACCATGCTGCAATCTACTTTGTGGCAGACCTTGCATGCCCGGAACCTTCAAAAATAGTCAAAAAGAGTCACCCAACGTAGAGATATCTCAAAACTTGATCCAGTAATCCTAAACGATGCGTTTAAACATGTTTTTGAGGATGCCGTACAGACCACAGATCCAAGTACCTTAGTTGATCTGTGTAATACGTCTATATCCAAGATCATGGAGGACATTGCACCAATGCAGACCAGAGTCAAGGTGGTGAAACAGAGGGCTGAATGGTTTACATCTGAACTAAGCGAAGAGAGGAAAAAGATCAAGAAGATTGAACGTCAGTGGTACAATTCAAAATTGGAAATACACCGGGAATTATTTAAAACTGCCAGAGCTAACTATCACACCCTCCTTGNATTGGGAACGAGCTGTAAGAATCTGTATCAAGAAATATGCTACTCATACTTTATACCTACACCAGTGCTCATGTTGTTGATACAATTATTTTACCAGTACTGAGTACATGTACCTGAAGTTTAGGACCTCGCCATTGCTGGCACTGTAGTAACATGTATTAGCTTCCGTCTGAAAAAAAAAAAAAAAAAAAAACTGATTTCCATCGGACCTGTATTGAAGGTGCTGATCAAAGGGAACTCTTTAGGATTGTGGACAAGATTTCAGAATCTAAGTTAAGCCAGCCAAGTGTGCTTCCTGACATGGAAATGTCAACACTTCCTCAAGTTTTTGCAGATTTCTTCACAAACCGGATCAAGGATATTCGTAAGGACTTAACTCAAAATTTATCACAGGATCCTCAGAATCAGATCCATCACCGAGTGAATTTCAAGACCGGTGTGCCAGTCAGGGTAGTGGGGTCCAACTGAGCCATTTCCTACCGGTCTCAGAGAAGGATATTATCTCTGTTATAAAGGGGATGAATTTTAAGTTTTGTGCTCTGGATCCCATGCCAACACATATAGTGAAAGATTGTATTAATGTGTTATCTCCGGTTCTCCTGAGATTAGTAAATCTGTCTTTCTCAACAGGTATCTTTCCATCAAACTGCAAAACTGCAATTGTTAGACCATTACTGAAAAAACAAGGGCTGTGTAAAAATGTCCTGAAAAACTATAGACCAATATCAAATCTACCCTTTTTAGGTAAATTTCTTGAAAAAATGACATGTTCCCAACTAAGCAGCTATCTGGCTGAAAATAATATCCTTGGGAAATTTCAGTCTGCCTATAGAGAAGGCCACAGCACTGAGACAGCTCTTATTTCGAGCCCACAATGACATAATGCTTGCCCTGGATAAACAAAAAGATGTCATTTTAGTTCTTCTAGACATTTCAGCAGCTTTTGATACCATAGGTCATAATATTATTCTTCACAGGTTGCAGCATCGCTTTAGAGTGAGTGGACTTGCACTTAGTTGGTTTACCTCATACCTGAAAAGCAGAACACAAAGGGTTACAATAGAGTCAGTTTTATCTCAGCCAGTTAACTTGGAGTATGGTGTCCCACAAGGGTCTGTGTTAGGTCCAATCCTATTCTCATTATACATGTTACCTGTAGAAGATATCATACTAAAGCATGGTCTGAACACTGTTATTTTTGCAGATAACACATAAGTATATACATTACATGCAAGAGCAGCCGGTCTGCAACAATCACTTCTATGGAGACTTGTCTTGCAGAGATTCGAGAATGGATGAAAGTGAACATGTTGGCTTTAAATGATAGTAAGACTGAGTTGATATGGTTTACATCAAGGTTCAAGGCAAATAGGAAAAATGCAGCAAATGCTAACATTTGCATAGGAGATGTTCTTATAAAACCATCTAGTTCTGTAAAAAGATCTGGGAGTTACCCTCGATGAAAAAGGCACTATGGAAAGCGTGGATCTGAAGTGTGTAAATCAGCATCTTATGCACTATGGCGCATTGGAAAAATAAGGGAAGTGTTAAATAACAAAACCACTGAAAAATTAGTACATCCATTTATATCATCAAGATTAAATTACTGCAATAGTCTCCTCTTTTGTATTTGTGACTATCAGATTAAAAAGTTACAAGTTATTCAAAACTCAGCTGCAAGACTGGTTTGTCAAATTAAGTGCAATAGTACACACCATATCACTCCCATTCTAAAAGAATTACACTGGCTGCCTGTGAAGCAGAGGATTGATTTTAAAATACTTTGTATTATTTTTAAGGCGATCCATTTACAAGGACTATTAAATTTATCTGATCTTATCTGTTTTAACTTACCACAGTGGTCTACACGTTTTAATATTGAGAATGATTTTATTTTAGAGAAGGGGTGCCTCAAAAGTTATGGAGACCGTGCTTTTATAATCTACGCCCCAAAAGTGTAGAATGCCATACCAAATTTTATTAGAAAAAACAGAAGACTTTGACAATTTTAAATCTCTTTTAAAAACCCACATTTTTGCGGCCATATATATATATATTTATTTTAGTAGTGTAAATTTTAAATGGTTTCCAATGAGCGTTTTAGATTAAAATATTATAGTCATTTTAATTATTTCAGTATATTATCCATTATTTTAAGGCGCCATATAAGAATCTTATTATTATTATTATTATTAATCCTTACACGGTGTTAAGAGTAAATGGTCGGAAGGGCGATGGATCGGAAGGATCCATTGTTCCTACGGTTTGGCTGCTACAAATAAACAAAAACAACCTGTTCTCACCAGAAAGAGGGGCAAATTTGCCTCAAAAAAGGCCTTTTGTAAGCGTCAGACTGGTCTGAGGAGGTTAATATATCAGGTATATTTTCGCAATGGGAACCATTAACGTTTCTGGGCACAGCACTGGCAATATTCAGCTTTAACATATGAGGTCAAATTTTATCTTGGGGCGGTGGGAATTTTGGATTTGGGGTCCAATTCACGTTGGTGCCAAATCTTCATTTGTAGTCACCGTTAGAGACCTGAACCAGAACAAANATGCCCTACCAAATTTTATTAGAAAAACAGAAAACTTTGACAATTTTAAATCTCTTTTAAAGACCCACATTTTTAATTATATATATATATATATATATATATATATATATATATATATATATATATATAAGATTGATTTTTAGTAGTGTGAATTTTAAATGGTTTCCAATGAGAGTTTTAGATTAAAATATTATAGTCATTTTAATTATTTTAGTATATTATCCATTATTGTAAGGCGCCTTGAGATATTATTATGATTAATCCTTACACGGTGTTAAAGTAAATGGTAGGAAGGGCGAAGAATCGGAAGGATCCATTGTTCCTACGGTTTGGCTGCTACAAATAAACAAAAACAACCTGTTCCCACCAGAAAGAGGGGCAAATTCGCCTCACAAAATGTTTTTCAATGCCTTTTGTAAACGTCAGACTGGTTTGAGGAGGTTAATATATCAGGTATATTTTCGCAATGGGAACCATTTAACGTTTCTGGGCACAGCACTGGCAATATTCAGCTTTAACATATGAGGTCAAATTTTATCTTGGGGCGGTGGGAATTTTGGATTTGGGGTCCAATTCTCGTTGGTGCCAAATCTTCATTTGTAGTCACCGTTAGAGACCTGAACCAGAACAAATACAGAGAGATTTTGGAACCAGCTGCCCCCCCCCCCCTCCAGCATTTGCTAATGTACACCTTAGGTACAATTGCAAATTACAAGATGAAAATGTCCGTCCACGCATAGCAACTGTATTTGCAGATTACTTGCAGAACCAAGGGTCTGAGCAACTACCGCGACCATCAAGATCGCCACATTGGAGGTCTGTACAATCTGACAGTCGCTGGTACTCGCCGAATCAACGGCCTACTGGTCCTACAACAAATTTGAACAATATTGGACAATCTCTGATCGATTCCTGGAATATTATCCCAGTTCAAATCCCAAGAAACCTGTCAGAAGCAATACCTTGAGAGCGCCAGTAGCAGCCAGATGAGGCCAGACGCACCGATGGCCGTTGCTGTGAATAGACACTGATATGAGCGTCCTTTTTGAAGCATATAACTCTTTCACAGATGATAATTTTGAAAATATGGAGATTGAAATAACGCTTTGAACGGTTCGACTTCAATTTAAGAGCCGATATGACAAATACACTGCATAGATCACTAAAAGTTATTAAAACAAGATTTAAAACTTAATTGTTATCATTTGTAAGTATAGAAAAGTAGGAAAAATTGTAAATAAATGGTTTGAACAAATATTCCATATTATATGGCAGGTATGTGGGTGGCAGGTGAAGTTAGAGTATAGGGTAATGTGATATCTAGTTTAGATATGCCTNATACAGAGAGATTTTGGAACCAGCTGCCCCCCCCCCCCCCCAGCATTTGCTAATGTACACCTTAGGTACAATTGCAAATTACAAGATGAAAATGTCCGTCCACGCATAGCAACTGTATTTGCAGATTACTTGCAGAACCAAGGGTCTGAGCAACTACCGCGACCATCAATATCGCCACATTGGAGGCCTGTACAATCTGACAGTCGCTGGTACTTGCGAATCAACGGCCTACTGGTCCTACAACAAATTTGAACAATATTGGACAATCTCTGATCGATTCCTGGAATATTATCCCAGTTCAAATCCCAAGAAACCTGTCAGAAGCAATACCTTGAGAGCGCCAGTAGCAGCCAGATGAGGCCAGACGCACCGATGGCCGTTGCTGTGAATAGACACTGATATGAGCGTCCTTTTTGAAGCATATAACTCTTTCACAGATGATAATTTTGAAAATATGGAGATTGAAATAACGCTTTGAACGGTTCGACTTCAATTTGAGAGCCGATATGACAAATACACTGCATAGATCACTAAAAGTTATTAAAACAAGATTTAAAACTTAATTGTTATCATTTGTAAGTATAGAAAAGTAGGAAAAATTGTAAATAAATGGTTTGAAAAAATATTCCATATTATATGGCAGGTATGTGGGTGGCAGGTGAAGTTAGAGTATAGGGTAATGTGATATCTATTTTAGATATGCCTTATCTTCAAATGTGCAATTTTGGTCACATAAAATTCACTTAGGCTGTTAGCAAAGTCTTTTTCTAAGTGTGACTGGACTGTGGTAAGTTGTTTCCCATTCCTGTCACCTGCGCTTGGAACAAAAGGATAAAATTTTTTACTCGTAGCTCGCTTGCGTTCATCTTAGTTTTCGAAGCCCAAGCCGTAGATTAAACTAGTTACAAATACTTGCGTTACTAGGACTACCATTCCTTTTACACTGGTGTAACGTGACAGAGTGTCCCCCGTGTGCAGATCGCAGAAAATTTCTGATAAAATATTAATTGATTTTAATTGAGTCCCGGCCATGGGCACGCGGCTCATATTGGTATTGTAACTTTAATTGGTCTTATTTAACTTTCGTGTAGCAATTACTAATAACTAAATCTCACTTTATTACGCCCTTTTTGTATTGAGTTCTTAAAGATACCGCGGGGTATATTTTACTCAAAGAGCTCTAATCCGTCTACTGAAGTTTTATGGTTCGGTACAGTATTCCCCGACTTGGGTTATGCCCGGAGAGAAAAGTAACAACACCACAGCTTCATTATAAAAACTATACTCTGATTATTTCCAGGCTGTTGCCTGGTTTTATATCCAATGTAGTGGTCGCAAATTATCTTAACATTACACGAAAGTTTTATCTTAAAAGTTAAATAGGACCAATTAGTGATAGCAACGATTACAACACTTATATGAGAGTCCGCTGTCCATTTATTTTTACAGGAAACCTCGACCTAGATTTTGACCCACTAATTAGGTCAGGCCATTCCGAGACCCTGTCGTAATGACTGTGGATCTATCTATCTCCAAGGGAATTCTCGCTAAATTGCAATCAACAAAAGCTGGTTACATCTCTGCCATGCCTACTGAATCTGCTAGGGAGTAATTAATTATCGTTTTGCAGCTTCGGTAAGCGAGGCAGACATCTAAGCAGCTTTAACTGAAAGCAATTTAGCGAGATATCCCTTGGGGATGGCTCAATCCTGTTAGATCGATCTAGGTATGGGAACCCAGTCTAACCCTAACCGTTTTTACTAAATGGAGGGCGGGTTTTCTGCAACACACACCCTCTGTTCCATTACACCGGGACGGTGAATTTCTTCTCCTTGTGTTTTCTAAACCTGACAGGAAACCAAAGCCATATTTTGTCCCTGAGATTTAAAATGATTACTTTGTAACAAACCGCTCGTAATTTGATTACCTTGTAACGAACTGCTCTTAATATGGTTAAATTGTAACAAACTGCTCGCTGTTTTCTGAACATGCCTTGGTGTGTGTGTGGTTCCCATACCTAAATCGATCTAACAGGGTCGATCCATCTCCGAGGAGTTTCTCGCTAAATCGCTTTCAGCTTAAGCTTAAGCGTAAGCTTAGATGTCTGACACGCATACTGAAGCTGCTAAACGATAATTAGTTACCCCTAGCAGCTTCAGAAGCGTGACAGACATCAAAGCCGCTTAAGTTGCTTACCATTTAGTGAGAATCCCCTTGGAGATAGATTGATACACAGTTAGCACAATAGGGTCTGGGAATGGTCCTTCAGATATCCTGGGGCCCGTTTCATGAAGCTGTCACACTAGAGGCAGAATGAGCAAGAATGCCGTCGGAAAGACAATTCTTTGTGCATTCCTGGATATTCAAAGAGCATTCTAAAAATTCCGAGTGCATTTCAAATATTTTTACCCATTGTTGTGGTCGGCCCGAATGTTAAAAACTTTCGAAGTGCATTATTGAATGGAATTTGAATAGTATTCTATCTACACTATGACTACATTTTAAATATTCTCACTGCATTCTGGCAACATTCGAAACATTCTGATCACATACGAGGGATATTCGAACTGGCACGTGACTTAAGGCCCCCGTCACACTTATCTGGAACCAGTAGGAATCAAACAGAACCAGCCAGAATAAATTAATTGAAAATTCGTGCCACAACCGGGTGGGGAATTTGCGAATGTTGTTAGAATGCAGTCAGAATATTCCGAATGAAATTCAAATGCCGTTCGAGTGTGGTTTGACTGCTTGCCGAATACAGGCTGAAGTATGTAAGAAGGTACCTCGAATGATATACGAAGCAAACTCAAATGCAATCAGATCGTTTGAATTATAAAGAATTCAAACAGAATGCAGCTGAAATACCTATAATACTTAAAATTACTTTCTAACATGTTTAGAATGTAACACGATGCCCAGAGTGTATAAATAACGCCACTGGAATGGTAACTGATCAGAATGTTTCGAACGCTGTCAGAATGCCGTGAGAATATTTAGAATGCAGTCATAGTGCAGTTAGAATACTGTTCAAATGCCATTCGATAATTTTCCAGTTGGAATGCACTTCGAAAGTTTTTGACATGACAAAAACATTCGAGCCGGCCACAAGAATGTGTAAAAATATTTGGAATGCACTCGCAATTTTTAGAATGCTCTTCGAATATCCAGGAATGCACAAAGAATTGTATTTCCGACGCCATTCTTAATTATTCCGCCTCTAGTTTGACGGGGGTATAAAATCCCGCCAGAATGTTTCGAATGTGCCTCGGATGAGCTGAAATATTAATTTTGCCAGCAATCGAACTACACTAGTACGCCATTCAAAGTATATTCTAAATATTCTTACTGCCTTCTGACAGCATTATAGATATTCCTAGTTTTCCAACTACATTCGAACTGCATTTGAGAGCTAATACAGCCGAAAGTGCACTTTTCATTCCAGGCGAATTCAAGCGCATATTGAGTATTCCAACGATACTCTTACAAGAATTAAGATCAATTTGAACTTTTTTCCCGAATGTGGTGCGAATTTTTAAACTTCTTCATTCAGCCTCATTCTTCTTAATTCCTGCTGATTCCGATTAAGTGTGACGGGGGTATTAGTTAGAATAACTAACGACAGAACTATCTCGCTAACGAGAAAAGTTAGCGATTTTCGTGTGGTGTTTCACGAAGCTTTCGTTAACCCATCGCTAAGTTCTGTTGTTAAGTTCGGTTCCTAGTTTTCTCGTTACTCACCGTAAACAGTCTACCTGAAGTGGGACTCTTTCGTAAGAAATGTCATAAATATTGTAACTCTGTAACGGTTGGCGGTTGAAATAGCAAATGAACGTCTGGTTTGAGGTTGTCGTAAAGGATCTCCACTGCCCTCTCCACCGTTTTTCCCATCACAACAGACAAGTAAGACCTTTCTTAAATTGCATCATCGTTCATATGTTATAATAAATTTTGCCTCTGAAGAAAACGTGATGTCTACGTTGCCGTCTTCCGGCACGGAGGCAAGAAAGGCAAACGCTGCATGGCATACAAACGACAGAAAACGGTGACTAAGCAACCTTTCTGTTTCATTTATTACGCATGCGTATGATGAAACTCTGAAGTTAGCGACTGGTCTGACCAGTCGTTAAATATCCATGGTAACAACGACACAATAACGAGCGAGAGAACTAGCGATAGCTTCGTGAAACGGCACTCATAACTAGCGAGAGTGTTGTAAAGCAAATTACTTACACTTTCACTAATTACAGATAACAATTAAAGCGGAATCAAAAGAGTAAAAGGGACAAAGAGTTATTGAGTGTAAGTTAAGTTTCTCCAAGAGTCAACAAGTGTAGAACATGTTTTTAGTGTCAGAAAAAGATGGAAAAGGTCAAAGTCAGTAACAGTTAATGTGATTGGTTAATTTCATAACATATTTTATTTTTGATCATCTATTTATCACATGATAACTGAGTTTTGGATAAGGTCCAAGTATGAGTAATCCAAATAATATTTTAGTTATCTTTAATTGAAAACAAGTCTCTTGGGGATTACCTAATAAGGAAATGTTGCGTGGTGACTTGCAACATGCGAATGGAAAATATTTCGTAATCACGCAAAGACAATGGAAAAGAAAACAAGTAAATGCGTGATCAGTACGGAGAAATTGAGTATAAATATTTGTGAAGTTGTATGAAGCGGGAGTCGGTGGATAAACGTTCGAAAGCTCCAGAATTTTGTGGTTATTCCTCACTATAAGAAGAGGCTAACGACCGTTCGCTAACTAACGACTGCTTCTTCACTCACATGTCCCTCCAACACTGACGTTATGTAGTTAGTATGTAACAAACCGCTCGTAATATGGTTATTTCATAACAAACTGCTCGTAAAATGATTACTTTGTAACAAACCGCGTGTAAAATGATCACTTTGTAACAAACTGCTCGTAATTTAATTATTTTGTAACAGACTGCTCTTAAAATAATTACTTTGTAACAAACTGCTCTTAAAATAATTACTTTGTAACAAACTGCACGAAAAATGAATACTTTGCAACAAATTCTTCTTAAAATGATTCCTTTGTAACAAACCGCTCTTAAAATGATTACTTTGTAACAAACTGCATGTTAAATGATTACTTTGTAACAATCTGCTCTTAAAATGATTACTTTGTAACAAACTGCTCGTAAAATGATTACTTTGTAACAAACCGCGTGTAAAATGATCACTTTGTAACAAACTGCTCGTAATTTAATTATTTTGTAACAGACTGCTCTTAAAATAATTACTTTGTAACAAACTGCTCTTAAAATAATTACTTTGTAACAAACCGCACGAAAAATGAATACTTTGCAACAAACTCTTCTTAAAATGATTCCTTTGTAACAAACCGCTCTTAAAATGATTACTTTGTAACAAACTGCATGTTAAATGATTACTTTGTAACAAACTGCTCTTAAAATGAATACTTTGTAACAAACTGCTCGCAATTTGATTACTTTGTAACAAACTGCACGTAAAATGATTACTTTGTAACAAACCGCAGGTAAAATGATCACTTTGTAACAAACCGCAGGTAAAATGATTACTTTGTAACAAACTGCTCTTAAAATAATTACTTTGTAACAAAC